CTGGCTGCTGGCTACATACAGTAGCCCATGGCAACCCACTGCCACAGCGGCTGCAGCCTACGCCATCGCCGGCGACTCACGGCAGCCCAGCTCCAGGTTGAGCTGTTGTTCAGCATCTCAGCTGTGGAAGGCAGTGTCACTGGCCCTCATATGTGGGATCCGAACTGGGGCTCTCTAGTGTCCTAAGCCAGTTCTTAACCATCGCGCCACTCAGCTGGCCCAGTAATATCTTTTTAAGTCTCACCATATACACTTTGGTTTTCTTCAATATCCCTAGACCAACATAATATCTGAAAACTGCTGACAACAGTTTTTTCTCTTAGCACAGTCCATGAACTGACTTTCTTACAACTAGTAAGCAACACGGACTACACTGAATCACAAAGTCTAATGTATAAATTCAAGAGAAGTGGAATTAATAATACTTAATCTAAGCATTTTGTGGGAACTTTGTTATGTTTTTGTCTAATGGATTATTATACATGCATTTTAATATTAAATTTAAAAAGTCCTTCTATCTTGTATATTATTCTGTAGTCTCTTTGCAAAGCCAGGGAGCATGAGATTGAGAGTGAAGAACATTTTAAGATTATTGCTGAAAGAGAACTGGCACGAGTGAAGAATGAAATCCAACGACTAGAAAATGAGATGGCTTCAATACGGGAAAAGAAAAGTGATAAGGAAGTATGTGTTGAAATGTTACTTAAATTTTGTGCTATTGTTCCTTCTTCCCTCACCAAACAAATACTGATTTTTTTTTTCTGTATGCGAAAGGCATTCATTAGTTTCATAATATTTACTTACATTTTTTTTTGGACAATAAAAGGCACATGGAGCTGTGATTTGAATGAAACAATGATAGAATGTTACATTTACTTTCCCACTATTCATTTACCAAATACTCATTGAGCCTTACTATGGGCAAAGTACCATGCTAGTTGCCTATTATATGATACTAGGCATAATTTATTCATAAGTGCTACATTTTTAAAAGCCACATTAAAAAAATCACTTTTAATTTTGAATTTCATTTTATATTCAAAATTTTTACCATTTATATTAGTTTATCAGCTTGTGACTAATATTAAAACGACTGTATTCATTTTTCTCTTTTCCTTAGTTTTTAGTTACCAGATGTGGGTAACTTTCCAAATTTGATTCTTCTTTTCACATATGCATATACAGAATATAATATTATATAATACATTATATAATATTTTTATATAATATTTTATTATATTAATTTGTATTTATTTGTATATTCATCTATTTTATGAATCTAGATTTGTTAAATGAATGCATTTACAGAAATACCTTTAACCCCATAACTGCTACCTTTATTTCAATTAGAAGTGCTTCCATAATTTCTATATAAGTGGCCTCTTAGAGGCAGCAATCTGATTGGAAGTGGGGCTGAAGGGGACTTGTCTTGGGCTTGAGTTAGCATGTCAAGCACATTATATTTACTAAGATTGCACATTTACTTGGTGTGGTGTTGGTGGAATGACGAACGAGATTGCTCTGGGGCAACTACCTTAAATCCTTTTTAAGCAACCTTTGGCTCAACTACTGTTCTCAACTTTGTATAATTATTTTCCCTCTATTTTGCAACTAAAGATTTAAAATACAAGTATGATAGTCATATAATTAAATATGGTATGTTGTATACAGTCTGAAGGTCAGGGACAGGGACAGGATTTCTTCTTTCCTTTTTAATATGTTCTATAGTGTGTAATGTTACATTTTATGTTAGTTGGTATAGTAAATAATGTTTTGTAATCTCCCCCTACCCCCTCTCTTTGGATACTAGAATAACATATTTAAATATACTCAAAAATTGGATGGTTTGAAATGTCAAATGAACTGGGACCAGCAAGCATTGGAGGCCTGGTTAGAAGAATCAGCTCATAAAGACAGTGATGCCTTCACTCTTCAGAAGTATACACAACAAGATGATAATAAAATTAGGGTGAGAAATTAGAAATTGTAATGTTAGGGTTTTTCTGAATCTGTAGTGTGTCAACCTTTTTTTTTTATCTCAGTTGGACTTATTATTTTAAAGCCATACTTTTGGGGTCAGAGTTGACTTTGAGAATCTAATAAAGCCAAGTATCCTCTCTCTAGAAAAATGACTATACTCAAATACCCACAAAATTTTGCTGAAAGTTTTACAGATCCCCTGAAGCCCTTTGACCATTTAGGGATTCTTAGACTTCAGGTTAAGAATCTTGAATAAGACAGGTTCTCAAAACTATTTCAGAAAAGTTTTGTACTAGAACTATGTATAGTATTTTAGCTTCTTTTGTCTAAATAATAATTTGAAAGTTACATATAGTTTTTGCTGATTTGAGAGTAGAATCGTATTGATTACTTAATATATTATTATAACCATTACTTAAAATCTACTTGTAATGAAATCTGGTAATACTTTAATATTATGAAACATGACATTTTCTAATAGACTTAATACCAAATGCATTATTTTAAATGGAAAATTGTTTAATCTTTTTTCTAATATGCTTTATTCTTTTTCACTCAAATGTAAAAAATTATTTTTGTTGATTTGTTTTTTTATTAAATTTATTGGGGTGACATTGGTTAGTTTACCAGAGGGTAACGGGGGAGGTAAAAGAGTGTAAAGGGGGTCAAATATACGGTAACAGAAGGAGATTTGACTTTGGGTGGTGAACACACAATGCAATATACAGATGATATATTATAGAATAATACACTTGAAACCTAACATACTTTTTAAAAGTCTTTTAAAAAACAATTGAGTTTTCATTGCAGCCCTTTGGGGTTAAATGATATATATATCTTCTATATAGATAGATAGATAGATATATCTTTATTCTTTTGTAGTTATTTTAGGTATCAAATAAATGTATATCTATAACATAATAATACTTAATGTGAAATATGCTAACAGCTTTTAAGTTAATAAAATGATAATCATGAATATTTTTGCATGTAACTACTTCCTAGGCACTGACCCTGCAAATAGAAAAACTGACTTTGGAATGTAATCAGAGAAAAAAGGTACTTGAGAATGAACTTATGGAGACTCTAAGTGCGCAGGTTCGTTTAGTGAAGATTTCTATTTGTTAATTGTCAGTGATGTTTGCAAAAGCACTTAAATTCACAGAAATGTTATTTTCTCTCTGACAGTTAGAATTGGATAAAGCAGCGCAAGATTTTCGTAAGATTCATAATGAAAGACAAGAACTCATTAAACAGTGGGAGAGTACAATAGAACAGATGCAGAAGAGAGATCGAGACATTGATAACTGTGCCTTGGTAAAGTAGTTGTTTGGTCCTTGCAACGTTCAGCTGTATTTATCTCTTTTGTATTTAACTCATTCATTTCAAATATAAATCACATTGTTATTTGAAAGTCGCTTATGTAGGAGATTCAATAGTTTTGTTAAATGTTTTTGAGAGCTGACTGTAAATCAACTTAGAAATGTGATTTTATGAAAATTATTTATTTATGGTATTATTGAGAAGACTGGAGCCTGCCGTCTCTGACATGTAAAACAAGAGAAAGTCAACAGATAACGTTACTGAAGTGAAACCAATGCCCTGCTTGCACACAGTTGGTCAGGGTGCCTTGGAGTTAACGTGTGTGCTGTCTGTCCACGTAGTAATCACAGGTGTCGGGAAATAAGCCTCATGGAGAGCCGAGACACAGGAGTGAGATCAGGAAAGAAACCCAGATCGCAATCAAGTTTCGCTTTCAAAGCTGAGGCACCCATAATGGGGTACAAGTTCGAAAGGAGAGGAACACCAGGCCTAGTGTTACCTTACTACTTTCCGACGTAATTTAAGAGAATCTTTTTTTTGAAATCATTAAAGGGTAAAATAGTGGTGAGTAAAAATGGGAAGATTAGGGAAAGTGGGGAAGGAGAAGCAATTAAGGAGGTCAGAAGGCACATGAGAAGATGTCACTTCCATTCTGAATTTACTCCATGGAAAGGGATTGGGCAAGCAGTTCAGGTCACTGGGAATTTGGAATTCTGGTATCTGGATGTGGTTTACTTGTTATTCTTTTATTTTAAATTTCAGTACGTGACCAACATTTTATCAACAAAATGGCCTGTGCCTCCCTAGGAGGAAAGAGAGAACCCATTTTAACTATGAGTTCTTCTTAATTCTTAATGCTGATGTTGGTTTCTCTTTCTTGACTTCTTACTGTTTTCTAACATCAAGTCCTAATGGCTTCCTCTGTGTAAATCAAATGTGCCCAATGCAAGATTGCAGATTCACATTACATTGTTTTTTTGTTGTTTTTTTTTAGGTTATGACCACAATAGATATTTATATTGCATTCTTATACAAGCCCATAGCTGAATTGATTCAGCCTGCTGATTTGGCAGAATATACAACTTGTAGCTCCCTGGTCATATTCACGGTGGTTCTTTATTTATGGGTTGACATTTGGCTGTCTGTATTGTAAGAAACTAGGGAGGGTGCTAAGAAGTGGTTCCATAGGTAGAGTATGTTTTTAAGTGTTTAACAACTGGCTCCCGATTTGTAGCAATTCTGAGTAGTGTGGTGAAACTACTTCCATACCAACAGAACTCCACTGAACACAGAATTGAGAAGTGATATGTAAGTCAGTTCTGGTGAGCAAATGAGAGCCAATTCACATCACTAGAAGATGAAATCTGAGATTGGACCCTTTTGTTCCTCTTCTTCCAAAATGATTCCTGCCGTCTCAGTGTCTTTGGTAGGAGTCTGACCATATGATCTTGTAATTGGCTTCTTAAAAGAAACTTTTACATTATTTAGAAAAGAAAAAATATTTTTCTATTATGCTTTTATTCCAGTGTAAAAAATTTGGGACATTACTTAAAAGCATCATCTATATGAAAACTTAACTGAATAGATAGTACTGTTAAAAAATGTGAACATTGAAGTAGATATTAAGGTATTTGATTAAGTGGTAGGAAATTCTAGAATGATCATTTAACACATAAACCTAGAAGTTTTGTCCTGTCTTTTGGTTGAATGAACATAGTAAATATATGGAATACTACAATTATAGAATGTAAATTGCTATAGAGAACATTTAGAATACTAGATTAAACAAATTTAAAATGTTTTTTTAATTGCAGTGCATCTCAGATATATATCTATTTAATATGCTCATATGTACAATATTACATGCAGCGTTTCTAAAACTTACTGATTTCAGAACACATACCCCTCCCAATTCCATTTCCTGGCATTAGTTGTTTGGTAGGACCCTATTTTGGAAAACTTGAAAGAAATGTATTTTAGGGTAAATGTTTCTTCTCCCTCCAATCCATCTAACATATTATCATAACATTCACTTGAAAAACTAGGATCTTTTTATTCCCCAGCTCTAAAATCTTTTTTGTTTTACATTACTTAAAATTGAGCCTCTTTAACAAGACAATTGAAAAATTTAATTTCTTCACAGTTCAGCACTAACCTCTATCTTTCCAACATCATCCCTTTCATCTGTACCTACCCCTTCTTAATATATCTCCAGTCCATCCCTGCCTTCCCACCCTGCACTTTAACCACATTGGAATTTTTATGCATTTCCATGTATTTTTTTACTCCTGACTGAAATGAAGCCTCTTAGGTAATGCCTTCTAATGATTACTCTTGGGTAGACTTCGTCATTTCTTTGTTCCTATAGTACTTTATATATTCTATCTATTTTGTATCTCCATGACCAGCAAAAAGCATTCCTGTTGAAGCAAATAACTAAAATGCTATTCTCAAAAAATGAAAACAAGCAAATAAAAAAACCCAAACTGGTCCTGTGAAATATTTGGAAAATTTCATTGAAATCCAACTTTCAATGTGGAAAATACTTAACACTGTTATATTTTTTAGATGTCACCTTTCATTTATAAAAGATTGACATTTTCCTTATCTCTTTAGCCAAGTACCAAGTAGATGAAAGAAAATATAGAAACCTTAAAAAATATGAGCTTATTATTTTTGGTGTGTAGCATATTAATAATTTGTTTTATTCATATAAAAATGATCTCTTAAAAACATTCTGTTAGGAAGTTTTGATAAAATAAGTACTGAATATAATGATAGAAAAATATAACAGATATGACAGAAATACAAAAATTTTAAGAAAATACTATGAGCAATTATATGCCAACAAATTGGGCAAACTGGAAGAAATGAATAAATTACTAGAAGCATACTATCTTCAAAGGCTGAATCAAGAGGAAACAGAAAATCCGAACTGACCAATTACTACTAATGAAATTATATCAGTAATCAACAAGTTCCCAGCCAACAAAAGCCCTGAACCAGATGGCTTCACAGGTGAATTCTACCAAACATTCAAAAAAGAATTAATACCTGTTCTTCTCAAACTATTCCAAAAAATTCAAGAGGAGAGGAGGCTCTCAAGCTCAGTCTATTAGGCCACCATTGCACCAATTCCAAAACCAGACAAAAACAGTACAAAAAAAAGAAAACTATAGGCTGATGTCTCTTATGAACATAGATGCAAAAATCCTCAACAAAATATGTATTAGCAAACTGAATTTCAGCAATGAATTTTTAAAAAAAAATCAAATGGAGTTTATTTCTGGTGTGCAAAGTTGGTTCAGTATCTGCAAATCAATGTGATACACCACATAAACAAAATAAAAAGTAAAAATTATATCATCATGTCAGTTAATGCAAAAAAAGTATTGACAAAATCCAGCATCCATTTATGAGAAACACTCTTAGCAGAATAGGAATAGAGGGAATATATTCTAAACTAATAAAGTCCATATATGACAAACCCACAGCTAACATCATCCTCAACAGGGAAAAGCTGAAAGCATTCTCCTTAAGAACAGGAATAAGACAAAGATGTCCACTTTCACCACTTTCATTCAACATAGCATTGGAAGTCCTAGCCACAGCTATCAGACAAGAAAAAGAAATAAAAGGCACCCAAATTGGAAAACTAAAACTGTTATTATTTGCAGATAACATACTACATATAGAGAGAATCCCAAAGATTTCACCCCAAAACTATTGAACTGATAAATGAATTTAGGAAAGTAGCAGGATACAAAATTAATATTCAGAAATTAGTTGCATTTTTATACACCAATAATGAACTATCAGAAAGAAAAATTAATAAAACAACCCTATTTACAATTGCATAAAAAATAAAATTACCTAGGGGCCGGCCGAGTGGTGCATTGATTAGGAGTTGGCTTGGGACGCCAGCTCTGAGCAGCAGGGCCCCAGTTTGGATCCCACATGGGCCAGTGACGCTGTGCTCTCTATAGCTAAGATGTGAACAACAGCTTGACCTGGAGCTGGGCTGCCGTGAGCCGCCGTGAGCGTCCGTCCAGTGGCTGGTGACCTATCTGCCTCACCCGGGAAGAGCGCAATGATAATACCAACATGGGCCAGGGAAGCAATGTCCTCCACAATTAGACTGAAGAACAAAAGGACAGCAACTTGTCTGCTCCCCTTCCTCGATTCCTCAATGCTGTTTCCCTCCCCCAATTCCCCAATAAAATCTTTTAAAAAATAAAAATAAATAAATAAATACCTAGGAATAAATTTAACCAAGGAAACAAAAGACTTGTACTCAAAAAATTATAACATTGTGGGGAGAAATTAAAGAAAATACATTAGCTGAAAGCATATACCATGCTCATTGATAGGAAGAATTAATATAGTTAAAATGTCCATGCTTCCCAAAGCAATCTATAGATTCAATGCAATTCCCATCAAAATATCAAAGGTATTTTACACAGAGCTAGAACAAATAATCTTAAAATTTATGTGGAACCACAAAATACCCCAAATAACCACGACAATCTTGAGAAAGAACAAAATTGGATGTATCGTGCTACCTCATATCAAACTATACTACAAGCTATAGTAATCAAAACAGCATGGTACTGGCATAAAAACAGACACACAGATCAATGGAACAGACCAGAGAGCCCAGAAATAAATCCATGCCTATATGGTCACTTAATCTATGACAAAGGAAACAAGAATACATATAGTGGGGTAAAGACAGTCTATTCAATAAATGGTGCTGGGAAAACTGGACAGACACATGCAAAGAAATGAAACTGGACCACCTTCTTATACCATATACAAGAATAAACTCAAAATGGATTAAAGACTTAAGTGTAAGATCCAAAACCATAAAACTCCTGGAAGAAAATATAGGAAGTAAACTCGCAGACATTACCCTTAGTAATATTTTTACTGATATATTCCCTCAGGCAAGGGAGACAAAAGAAAAAATAAACAAATGGGACTACATCGAACTAAAAACTTTTTTGCATGTCAAAGGAAACCATCAATAAAATGAAAAGACATCCTATTGAATGGAAGAAGATATTTGCTAGTGATACATCTGATAAGGGGTTAATATCCAAAATTTATAATACAACATAACATAAAAAAATGCAAAGAATCCAATTAAAAAATGGGCAGAGAACCTGAATAGACATTTCTCCAAAGAGAACATACAGATGACCAATAGACATATGAGAAAATGCTCAACATCACCAATGATCAGTGAAATGCAAATTAAAACCACAATGAGATATCATCTCACACCTGCCAGAATGGCTATCATCAATAGATCTACAAACAAGTGTTGGAGAGGGTGTAGAGAAAAGGGAACCCTCATGCACTGTTGGTGGGATTGCAAATTGGTGCAGCCTCTGAGGAAAACAGTATGGACATTCAACAAAAAATAAAAAAAATAGAGCTACCTTATGACCCAGTAATTCCACTTCTGGGTATTTATTCAAACAATTCCAAAACACTAATTCAAAAAAATATATGCACACCTCCATTCACTATAGTGTTATTATTATTATTATTATTATTATTATTATTATTTTACAATATTTACAATAGCCGAGATATGAAAACAACCGAAATACCCACCAAAAGACAACTGGATAAAGAAATTGTGGTACATTATACAATGGAATATTACTCTGCTATAAAAAAGAGTGAAATAATTACCATTTGTGGCAACATGGATGGACCCAGAGGATATTATGCTAAGTGAAATAAGTCAGACTGAGCAAGACAAATACCATATGATCTCACTTATATGTGGAATCTAAAGAACAAAATGAATGAACAGATAGAACAGAAGCAGACACATAGATACAGAGACAAAGTGATGGTTGCTGGATAGGAGCGGGGTTGAGGGCTGGGTGAGAAAGGTGAAGGGATTAAGAAATACAAATTGATAGTTGTGGGACAGTCACAGGATGTGGAGTGCAATATGGGGAGGGTAATCAGTGGTATTGTAGGGGCTGTGCATGGTGTCAGGTGGGTGGTGGACTTATTGAGGGGATCACTTCATAAATGGTGTAGATGTCTAGCCACTACACTGTACACCTGAAACTAATGTAAAATAATATTGAATGTCAACCATAATTAAAAAAACAGTCCCGGGAATGTGTAGTGCAGCATGGGGAATATAGTCAGTAGTGTTCTAATAACTACGCAGTATATGGTAGGTAGTGGACTTGTTGGGGTCATCATTTTATGAGTTATGTAAATATCTGATCACTATGATTTTCTGTACACCTGAAACTAATAAAAAATAATAGAAAAAGAAAACCAATTCCTTTTAGTTTTAGTTTCGTTCATTATATTAAACATATATTTAACATTTTCTTTCTTTTTTAATCCTAGGCATTAGCAAGGACAAAGCAGGAAATGAGAGAAAAAGAAAGTTTGGTTAAGGAAAAGGTCAAGTTTTTGGAAAGTGAGATTGGAAACAATGCAGAGTATGAGAAAAGAATTTCAGTTGCTGATCGTAAAGTTTTAAAATGTAGAACGGAATATCAACAGCACGAAACTAATAGGAATCAGCTGAAGGATGAGGTATGTCAATTAAAATGACTAGTTTGTGTGTTTATGACAGATTACTGTAAAAACAAGCATAAAGTTTTTCCTTTGGTTCAGAAACTGCCTTCTAGTTCTTTTTGTTTTGTCTCTTCATGTTATGGAACTTTTTGGATTCTCAGATTGAGCCTCTGATTGGTGAAGGCAGTGGGGTGGGTGAATGGGGGCGGGAGTGGGGTGGAGGGTGGTGGTGCCATTCACATCACAGGTGGCCTGAAGGGTTACATAGTACCCAAGTCGCCTCTCATGTTTGGTGTTTTGTAAGTGACCCAAGGCAAAAGGCTCTGACGGGTCTAGACTGGCAATTATAACCTGCAAATGGGCAAATGCAAAGGTGAATATTGACAATGGTATTAACTAAAAGCATCTTTAGTGCTACATGTGTATGGTAGTTTTAACTCTGAAATTCTAGGTGGAACTACCTGTTTAAGTTCAGTTTCTCACCTTGTTAAAGGATACATTTCAGTCTGGTAGTGGGACAAAGTCGTGGTAAAATACCTTGAAACAGACTAAGAGAGAACAAAACTTGAGCTTTGTTATTTTCTTCTTTTGCAAGAATACACGCCCACTAGATTATACCATAGGGAGAGGTAGTGATCCCCTTCGTTAGCAGTGAAGGGATCTTTAAGAAATTTGTGCCTTGAGGCCATATTCTCTGAAGTTACCACTGTTTAGTTGGGAAATTGGAATAATGTAGAGCTTTTTATTTTATAAGTTACCATTTTTTATTTCTGATAAAGAAGGAAAGATTTTTTTTTCTGCCCAAAGAGAATAATTACACAAGATCCTGAAAAAGTAAAATAAACGAATTTCTTGCCTAAGTTCAGTGTCACTGCTAATGGTTCATTTTAAAATATTTTAAAGTTTAAATCAATTGCAGAAAAGAATGCAGGAATTTATTCATTCATAATTTGTTTATTGAGATATAAGCCACATACCGTAATTCACCCTTTTGGAGTGTATAATTCAATGGTTTACAGAATTGTTCAAGCATCACCACTATCTAATTTTAGAATATTTTGTCATTTTTTTTTAAGACTTTTTTTAATTGGGAGAGGGGAACAGTGTTGTGGAATCGGGGGAGGGAAACAGACAAGTTGCTGTCCTTTTGTTCTTCAGTCTAGTTGTGGAGGACATTGCTTCACTGGCCCATGTTGGTATCATCAGTGCACTCTTCCCGGGTGAGGCAGATCAGTTGCCAGCCTCTGGACGGCCGCTCACAGCAGCTCTTGGCAGCTCACACCGGCTGCCAGCCGCTCATGCTGGCTGCTGGCCACACACGGTAGCTTATGGCAGCCTACTGCAGCCCGGCTGCAGCCTATGCCATCACTGGCGACTCATGGCAGCCCAGCTCCAGGTCGAGCTGCTGCTCACCATCTTAGCTATAGAGGGCAGTGTCACTGGACCTCATGTGGGATCCGAACTGGAGCCGTGCTGCTCAGAGCTGGCATCCCAAGCCAACTCTTAACCAATGCGCCACTCGGACAGCCCTATTTTTGTCATTTTAAAAAGAAACTCCATACCTTTTAGCAATCACTCTCCTTTGCCCCCTCCCCTCAGTCCCTATCTTAACCATTTTTAAGTGGACATACACTTCAGTGGTGTTAAAGTTCAGTGGTATTAAGTACATACCTAATGTTGTTCAACCGTCACCACAATCCATCTCCATAACTCTTTTCTGGTAAAACTGAAACTCCTTACTCGTTAAACAATAACTCCCCATTCCTCCCAGCCCTGGCAACTACCATTCTACTTTGTCTCTATGACTACTCGAAGTACTTCATATAAGTAGAATCACATGGTATTTTTCTTTTTGTATGTGGCTTATTTCACTTAGTATAATGTCCTCAAGGTTTATGCATGTTGTAGTATATGTCAGAAATTCCTTCCTTTTTAGGGGTGAATACTACTCAACTATATGTATATATACTACGTTTTGCTAATCCAGCCATCTGTTGATGGATACTTGGGTTGCTTCCATGTTCTAGCTATCGTGAATGATGATGCTATGAACATGGGTGTATAATCTCAAGAATTGGCTGGATCACATGGTAATTCTATGTTTAATATTTTGAGGAACTGCCATGCTGTTTTCCACAGTGGCTGTACCATTTTACATTCCCACCAACAGTACACAAGGTTCAAAATTTTCCATATCCTTGTCAACACTTTTATTTTATATATAGATATATATTTTTTCGATGGTAGCCATCCTAATGGGTGTGAGGTGGTATTTTCTTATAGTTTTGATTTGCATTTTCCTAATGATTATTAATGAAGTTAGTATTTTTTCATGTGCTCATTGGCCATTTGTACATTTTCCTTGGAGAAATGTCTGTTCAAGTCTTTTGCCCATTAAAAAAAACTTTTTTGTTAAGTTTTAGAAATTCTCTACATATATTGTGGATATTAATCCCTTAATATGTGATTTGCAAATATGATATTTTCTCCCATTCTGTGGGTTGTCTTTTTACCCTGTTGATATTGTCTTTTGATACACAAAAGCTTTTAATTTTGGTGAATTCTATTTTTGTTTTGTTGCCTGTGCTTTTGGTGTCATATCCAAGAACTCATTGCCAAATCCGAAGCTTTGCTCTAATGTACTTTTATCACATATTTGTAGGTCTTTATTATTTGCCAATATTATACAACAAGTTATTAAAATTTAATATTAGACCAAAAAGGAAAACTGTTAATATGTATTACAGCAACATGGTTACTGTGTTTATGGGTGTGATGTAGGTTAGAGATTACAGTGTTCAGAGTAGAACTTCTTAGAAATGAAATTAATTTATAAAATATACAGTAAATAACTTACTTCTGTTTGTTACATAATAAATAGCTGGACTCTTTAAAAGCCACTGTGAATAGAAGTTCCAGTGATTTAGAAGCTCTGAGGAAAAATATTTCCAAAATAAAGAAGGATATTCATGAAGAAACAACAAAGTAAGAAAAAAGATATTAATACTTAAATATGTTTGAAGTTTTTGACTGCTTGTAGAAAAATTAAATTATTTATAAATAACTCTAAAATATAGCTACTAAATTATTAAATTAAAAGAAACTTTCCTGGTATTTTTGTCATAAAGGCTCAGGAGCAATATTTTTATGGCTTATTAAATATGAGGTCTGACAATTAAGTTTGTGAACTCATCCTAGAAAAAGTGTTACATACCTCATTGTTGAATATCACTACAGTCACCTTTGAAGTACTCCTGGGAAGCTATGCACCGATGCCAGCGCCTAGTCCACCCTTCAAAGCAATTTTGGAACTCTTTTCTGGGAATGGCCATCAGAACTGTCATCGTATTACCCTTGATGTCCTGAATGTCCTCAAAATGTCTTCCTTTCAATATTTCCTTTCTCTCCAGGTAAAGAAAGAAGTCATTGGGGGCCAGATCATGTGACTAGGGAGGGTGTTCCAATACAATTATTTGTTTACTGGCTAAAAACTCCCTCACAGACAGTGCCGTGTGAGCTGGTGCATTGTCATGATGCAGGAGCCATGAATTGTTGGTGAAAAGTTCATGTCATCTTAACTTTTTCATGCAACCTTTTCAGCACTTCCAAATAGTAGTAGACTTGGTTAACTGTCCAGTTGGTACAAATTCATAATGAATAATTCTTCTGATATCAAAAAAGATTAGCAGCATTGTTGCAACAAGTTCACAAACTTAATTGTCAGACCTTGTATATATTGGTAAGAGAAAGGTTTATGACAAAAGAAACCTTCAGGACATATAAGGAAATCTTAGGATAAACTGTTCCTTGTTTGTTTGCAATAAATACTTTTTAGCCATGTTTTCTGTTTTTTCCTCATAAATTCTCTCTAGGTTAGACAAAATTAAAAATCATAATCAGGGTGCAAGAACAAAATTAAAGCAAGTAACTGAGAAAACTATGTCTGTAGAAGAGAAAGCTACCAATTTGGAAGATATGCTACGGGAGGAGGAAAAAGGTGTAAAGGTAAAGTTTAGTTACAATTAAAAAAAATCACAGAAAATTTAGCAATAGTGCATTGATTAGACTCTTGAGATCGGAGGAGCAGAAGATCTTTAATAGGCTCTGCTTTCTGGTGTGATCACATCTGTAATCAGAGTTGTTGGACCTCTTTTTATTGTTTCTGAGGATGTTTGTGGCCTGCTGTCTTCTGAAGCTCTTATTCTGCATTTGCTGCACTTTCAGCATTTAACTCATTTAGCTTTGATGTCTCCTTTTAAAGGTAGCCCCTCTACCTTAGATTCCATGCCTTACAAATTCCTACTGTGTCCATGTACCAGCTTGTCATCCATATATATTAATATGGTCTTATATTACAAAGGTACCTTGAAAAGTACCCTTGTTTTACAACTGATTTCCACATGATTACCATCTTTTTTGTTTGTTTGTGATCAAATTCCCCCAATAGTCTATATTCATTACCTGTGTTTCTTCATCTATTACTACTATTTCTTTAATCTCTTATAGTCTGGCACCATCTATTGGTAAACAACAGGCACTTAAATGGTATCACTTTACTAACTATACTGGCATCCACCCTTCTTTCTTAATCTCTTGGGTATGTGGGTAGCATTAAAGCCAATTTTTGAGGAACTGGAAAAGGCTGGTTCACCATTTCCTATTTGAAAACTTCAAAGCGGCTTGTGTGACCTGACACTGTAGGCACTACTTCTTGCTTTTAACTTTTTGAGGGGGG